TCCGCTAGTGCCGTAGCAGGGGGGGTTGTGCTGACTCAAAGAGGAGACCCCCCCCCGCTAACGCCCTCTCCCCCCCGTTCCGTCCCATTGCAGCAGCGAGTTTGTGGCTCCGGTGACGGTTCCGGTCCAGGACATTCTGGATCTCGTGTGCCGGGCTCTGAACATCTCCATTAAGAATATCGTGAGTTGGGGGGGGCAGGGGAGGGATGGGAGGCCCATACAGCCCTGTAGGGCCCAGCCTGCCTGCCTGCTCTCGGGGAGCCTGGAGTCGCCCCCTTCTCCCCCGGCTACTCCCCTTGCAGGGAAGGGGGGGTATGTTCTAGTTCCCCCTCGAGCCCCAAGGCTGGGGCTGGATCCTGTCTGACCCCCCCTCCCCCCCAGAGCTGGTTCGGCGATGGTCCCCTGAAGATGCTGCTGCTGCCGTCTGTCCACCTGGAGATCCTGGATGTGCTGGCGGCCTTGATCCTGGCGTGAGTCCACTGGGAGCGGGGCAGGTGTGGGGCTGGAGGGGTGGGCGGGGCTTTCTGGGGGAGGGGCTGGGGTGAGAGAGTGCTGATCCCTCTCCCCCCAGGTGTGGGGCCCGGCTGGGGCAGTGAGGGGGGATCTGGGGGGGTCCCTGCCTCACCGCGCTGCCCCCTCTCCCCCCAGGTGTGGGGCCCGGCTGGGGCAGCGAGGGCGGATCTGGGGGGTCCCTGCCTGACCACGCTGCCCCCTCTCCCCCCAGGTGTGGGGCCCGGCTGGCGCGCTGGGGCAGCGTTCTGGGCCGGCTCTTCCCCCAGGTGCTGGGTGCCTGGAGCAGCAGCAGCGACTCGGTGCCGCCAGGCCAAGAGAAGCCCTACAGGTCAGTGGGGGGCCGCGGAGGGGGGCTGGGGGGGTCCTGTTCTGCAGCCATGCCCTCGACCCCCCCTCTCTCTCCAGTGCCGTGCGCACCAGGCTCTACCAGGTCCTGGAGCTGTGGGTGCAGGTGGGCGGGGCCGGCGCGGGGGTGCTGCAGGGCCCCCCCCACCACAGCGAGGCCCTGCTGGCCCACCTGCTGAACGACATCGCCCCCCCCACGGACAGCGTCAAGGTGAGCCCCCCCCCCCAGTCCCCTAGAGACACCCTGTGCACTGCCAGGGGAGAGCA